GCCGTGGCTGGTGTCCAGGCTCCTGCGGCTCCCAGTTGCCTGACACAGCGGTGTCAAAAATCTGCACAAGGGTGTTTGTAGACACATCCCAGTACAAGCTGTACTACATTACACCAGTGCCCTAAGCTGCGTTACCTGAAAAAAACCAAAAGTCTCAGGTTAAATGCCAGTTAGAGCCTGTCTTATATAAAAGCTAAGCCAATTACTCAGAACTCTCAACACGAGGGCCGTTCCTAAGAAAACCCAAGCCAACCCCTAAGGTTTGGCGCGACACACAAGATCCCACGCAGCAGAAGGCGAGCTGCCCGCGCAGCCTGGCTGCAGCCCGCCCTGCACGCACCGCCCGCCGTTCTCAGGGCACCGCTCACACACAGGCTGGCTCCGTCAGGCTCACCCGGAGAAGGTTCTTTGTACAATACTTGCCTTGAACAATTGCAAGGGAAACTCAGAGTTATTGGCAAAGTATGTTGCACTCTGTATAAATAGTCCTTACTTTGCTATTTTGTCCTAACGTGAGAGTCACCCCGAGGAATTAATTTTAATAATAACTAGTGATAACTTCCTGGTTTTTGAGATTTAAAAGAAACGAAATGGAGCACTCTTTAGCTACCAAGTAAATTCAGAACACCACTACCTTGGAAAACTGAATTTTTTTTCTCATGTCCCCAAAAGACATAGAATTGGTCACTTTATTGCCTAACATCATCGAATAACGTGTTACCTTAAAGGACAGTATAAAATGACAAAGACTAGCTGCATTTCTCCCTTACTGGCAAAGAAAGTTAAATTTCATCTGTGATCATCTTCTGTTCTACTTTTTAAAACGTGTCCTCATTGATTCGAAAGCTTACTGAGAGCCTTTAGTCACAGGTTAGTCTTAGGCATTTAGTTGCCCCTTTCTAAGACTGTAATAATTTAGTCTGAAGTTTCACAGGCAACATTGGAAGTTTCTCAATATTACCATGAAAATCCACCCACGAAGAAGCATCTGAACTAAGGCGAAAAAGAACTGAATTTTTTCTTATCGATGACAGTAGTAGCAACGCAACCTCATTAAGAAGAGGAACATTCAGCCAAGGAGTTTACAGCCTTGGACATTCTCACTACCGTTTTAAGTGGGAACTTAATATTTTTGCAATTCAGCTTTTATTCCTTTTTTCTTTCATTGTAAAGGCTACAGTAATCACTTATTAGCACACAACTAAAAATACAGGAGATGAGGAGCTTCCTCAAGCAGGGAGACCAGTCCCCTTAGCTTTCACAGCCAGCATCTATTACTGATGCTTTACAGAGAAATGCACAAGACTTCGTAATGCACAAATACCAGATCCCAACTAGGGAAATTTCCCTGTCACCCCTCTGATACCTTCTCCATTTCTGCAGACCTTTAGGACTACTGTAAGCCTCAAAACATGAATTTTTACTCATGGGTAAAAAAACCCAAAACAAACCAACAAATAAGCAACAAAAACAAACAAAAAACCTCTCTCATCTTTTACAAGTTATTAACAGGCATTTCTGTGGTGCGTGGTGTGTGTACATATAAGTACACATATAAGCCTTACTCAGAGTTTGAACATAAAACTATAGTTTGGCAATGAGAAATTTAATTGTTTGCTGTGCAAAAATGTTTCTTTTTATGGATTTTAAATTCTTGAGCCCTCATTTTACTGCTTCTTGCAGTACAACGATAAAAATTCAACTGAAGCATCCACTTTGTTTATAAATGGTGAATTACTTTATGCGTCTACTGAATTTGAGAGAAAACAACTGACATCAGTACCTGACTATGACTGGCTGAAACCAGGTTGCTGGTTCATAGATGATATCTGTAACTGATCATCCTTTAGCTCAAAGATGGTACTACACATACCATAATTTTCTGCTCAACACCAACATGGCTACCACAGACATTTTTTTCTTAATGTACTAGTAGAAGTAAACCTGCTTTCCATTCTTTTACTACTATTATTATTAGTTTCAGGTATTTCCAGACTTCTCTTTTTCCCACATCTGCATATTCCTTTCTTTTTTTTCATAGCCCAGCAGAAGGAAATATGCCAAAAGCAAGATGTCAGTCATGAAAATCAAAGGGAAACAAATGATACAGTTATGGGCAATGCTTGTCACCTCAAAGGCACACATAGAAAGAGTGGAATTGAAGAGAAGCCATGAGTCACTACCACTCTAAATGAAATACAACTCCTAAGACACTCTAAACAGTAAACATTTTATATATTTATCATTAATTTTACTTTTTAGATACTGATTTTTCTTGAAAACCAAAACTATATGAATGTGCCTAAAGGATAATATTTAGGGGAACATATTTGTGTGAGCTAGACTAATTTTCTATTTACATTTTGAAAGACATAGTGAAGTAAAAAACAGTTATGAGGGAAAAAAAGGGAAAGTGTCACCGAGACTGAGAAATTAAAATAAACACGAAGTTGATACAGATTATAAATAGTCTGGCTCTGTATTTACCAGAGCCCTGAACACCCATATTCCTGGTGTGATGCTTCCAATATATTTTGATACATATACGTTCCCATGATTTTCAAAACACAATCAACTCACAGATCACATGTATGTTTGGCTTTGGTGGTTTTTTTTTGTTTTGTTTGTTTTTTCTTTACACGAATTAATGTATTGCTAACCTTATGTTGCCCCTGCAGAGGTGAGGACAACAAGCTTTGCTCCAGAAACTCCTCAACTGTTTTTCAGGAAGGAAAAAGCAGGATTTCTGTTGTACAGGATCAAATTATATAGGTATTGGGCTGATAAACTAGGCCCTTCAGCAAAATTTAGTCAAAATATATCCCTGCT